AGACTCTACCGCTTTAAATAAGGCTTTGTCTATCCCGATAAATTTGAGATGACCCTAAAACTTTTCGTCCCAGCATAATCCACACCCACAGCGTTATTGACAAGGAAACGTTTTGCTGTACACTGCTAAAAAACCAATGTCCGTTTAGTATTTTAAGTATACATTGTGTTAAGATAAACAATAGAGTTAGCGGATATGAAGCAGCCAATAATTTGTCATGAGAATATAACGTTATCATAGTTTCACTTCCCAACTGATATTTTATTCGTGTTGTGTTAGTTACACGCGAACCAGTCCATGGGAACTCGATCAGACATCACTTTTGTCTGGGAGTTAAAAATTGGGGATAGAATTTGAGTTGAGGTGAACTTTTTAGCACAGCACTAGACATTAAAGAACTCAATGATAAGAAATTGGAGTGATGGTGGGGGTGGGAGGGGGGGGGGACAAAACTCTGACCAGTATAACTTTTAGACTGAATCATCTCTGTATAACGTCTCTTTCAATCTAATTTTATTATATCACTCTAAACCGATCACAATATAATGAGAAATGTATTGATACGTTTGTTATTTTGATCATTTCTCTTTTGAATAAATTAATTTCTGATATCAGATATTTTATAAATATTGTAATGGACCTGTCACAATTTTGATATTTAGTGTATTGAATTATGCATAACATTTTGATATTTTGATAATGAATGTCTAAAATGTCTATTGTTTTCATTCTTGATCAGACTATATGAATTTTTCGAATGGCATAAATTTTTACCAGTTAGCCTATATCCACTTCGCCTGTTACCGTAGCCTGAAGCACACATGGTCTTTTAGGCCACAAGATTATTTCCCATGCCATTTCCGACCCATATCCCTGACAGAGGGAAATCTTGATAGGTATCAAACCTAGGCCCCAAACCTACAAGGTAACCAATGACCGATATATTTGCTATAAAGAAACAAAAAAGCGTTATTACCCTACACATTAAGAATATAAGAATGAATAGAATAGAAACCATTGTGAAAGAAGGAAATAAAGAGGTTTATGATTACATATCAATGGATTCCATTAAAAGAAGCCTGTATAAGAAATACACATCAGAAATAGCATCAACCTAAAAGCATACATATTGAACCTATGGCAATCGATCAACTCGTATCAACGTTGATATTGGTTAAACAACAACAAAATGTATGAAGGCATAAGAAGAGAAAGGTTTTTTTACCTCTTCATGTTCATGTATAATAGACGCATGTTCGACGCTGCACTGACACCAAGAGTAAAATGATACGAAGGATGAATACGATTAAACTTTCCCGAAACTGAATCGAAACTAGAAAACCTGAAATCATTTGGAATGCTCAGTCGAGTCCCTTAAATATGTTACCGTTTTCATGTGCCTTAAAGGATTACTATTTAGTACGGAATGCTGGCGTAGATAAAGTTTCCCCTCGGGACAAAAATCCAAAGCCTGTCCCGCTGAAGGCTATACATGTTACAGAACATTCAATCGAAAAAGAGTGTAAAACTTGGGCAGTATTGTTCTGTAGTACGATGCCCGTCCCATTCTTTTTGCTATAAGAAACCAAGAATATTGAGATGATATATAGTTCATAAACTGAATACCTGGTTGAAGATGACTGGAAATCGTTTTCATTTGTTTAATCAGCTAGAAGAATTTCAGATATTTTCAGTCATTAATTCAAGTCTGCACTCAGTAATAGATTTACTTTATCGCCATATAATCTACACAATTTAAAGGAGACGCGTCTAGGAATTAAGAACAATTTCACTTTGAAATACAAAGAAGTACATTCTAAAATTAATTTGATACAGAAATGGATCTTGATTTTGTGTCGTAGGGGAAATAAGGACTCAAAATCCTTAGCAAGAAATTCTTGTTAAGAAAGAAAATTCAAGGGGAACTTTTCCTTTAAATTTTCATATGAAAATGATCATTTATCGTTGCTGAAATAATCTTATACACACAAAAAAAAAACATGGTTTTAAATTCTTGTTAAAATAATTCCAGAGGAAGTAAGAATCATAGAACATAAGTTTTTATCGTTCTGTCTAATTAGATATTAACTAACGTATATCTAGTAGAGATATAGTACGTGCGCTAGTCTAGTACGTTAAAGGAACTAAAAAAATAATGTATAACCATGTTACTCTTTGAGTATGCATAGAATTACATCCTGTACATAAAGAGCGTAGACCTGCTCACAGATTTGCATACATATTTCCTAGAAATGAGCAAGGTGAGCCATTCCCGCAGTTCTGTTTCCTTATGTTCATTCTTACTGCATAGCATAATCAATCATTATTTATCCTTAGCCTACATGCAGTGGCTCAACTAGACAAGTGGGGAGAGGACTAGAGAGGACTGGATTTTCAACCTATTTCACTCATTTGCATATTGCTGATTGCTTAGTTTGACTATTATTGTATACTTTAGTACAATCTTTTTATTAGTTTTCCTTGACAACGGAATTTGAGCCACTGCTTTCATCCAGAACCAATCGGCTATTGAAGACGGGCGTCGATTTGAAGTTTGCTATTTGTAGTTGTTGGTAAAGTGGAGAAATATCTACTTCTACGGTGTCAACCGTGTCGATGCAATAGGCAACTTGAACAGAACTCGCCTTAACTACTCTTAGGGCAAATAACCTTATAAGCTATATAGATGCAGAATGGTATGAAGGAAAACTTACATTACATTTCCAATCTCTGATCTTAAAATGTCAAGCAGATTTAAACATGTTTGTTAAACCTGCTATTAGATCTCTAATTCAACATAACATTTAACATAATTAAAGTCATGTCATTTCTGTTATTTTAAATCTTGCTGTAATCATGATAAGGAATTAAAAGGTTGTACCTAAATACCTTACAATTCCGGTCTACAAATTGCTAGTAGCCTACTAGGACACACTTATATCTCTTTTTGCATGATACAATGATTAATTCCCTTGTTTCCATCAAGACGATTTACTTCTGACTAATGGTGCTGAATATCTTGTTTTTGGTTAGTTCATAAATGGCCAACTTGAGAAGTGCACTCTCCGTTTAAGAAGTCTATACATTGTCAAGTAGTAACAGAGGTGATGTAGTTGGCGTTTTGTAGAATACTCTGTAGCAAGGGTTAGATGTCTAAAAAACCCGTTTTATCCTTACCATTTTCACAGATAATTAGATGGTCCGTAAAGTGGGCAAAAGTTATTTCAATTTCAGCCTCGTGGAATACAGTTATATCTAATAATCGTTATTTTATAAACTTATCATATATCGAGCCACTCATTCAAAATAAATGGCTCTATACACCGCGATATATTAATATATCAGACTCTCCGTCAATAACAGACAGACAATTTGGTCATGAAAAGTCGACAAAAGGCAGATCATCTATTTACCCAATGTCTAAGCCTTTTCACGATGCTATTATACCTCGTCTGTTTTCTAATTGGTGAAAGCAGAAACAAGATTGATTTATTGTTAGGTCAAAGTGCCATAGACATTACATGTAACCTTCTCAAGCCATAGACCTACTGTCGATGTTCGCTTGTACGATTAAGAGATGGTTGAAGGAAATTGAAAGCATGTCAGCTTTAGCTAGCGACATGAATACATCACAGAACTTAGTCGATGATCTCTTCAGTTCATTTGATAAATGGGTTTCTTCTCGGCGGAGAAACTATTTTGTTATTCAATGTTACTAGTATTCCACAAGTCTCGCGTCATTTGTTGTAACTTTCAAATTAGTTTGTATGTACAAAACCATTATGATTTAGTACCCCAAAGTGGTGGTTACAGAGATACTATTTGAATCATCTAAGAGAAGATACAAGGGGAAAGCAATATCAATGATACAATCTAGTTATTCCAATATGTTACTTTGATAATACCATGGCAACTATGGGACGCACAAGCGAGTTATGACTTTGAGACCCTGTAGTAGTACCCCTCGGATGTGGTACCTCGGTATACTAACTATGAACTACTTTGTAGTATTCTTAACTGATGCTGATCATTGTACCTCCCCTTCCGGTTGTCTGGAAATAATTCATAATATACAACCGCAACCGAGTTCTTAAGCGTGGTTTTGACAATCTATATCAGGATTTTGACATTCGCATCATTCCATATGACTCTGACATGCAGAATATCCCAAACTGCCAATGTCAGTGTTGATGGTCAAGGTTCCACAAAAGGTTATTGATTGAATTGCTGATTGTTGATATCTCAGGGTTGGTACTAACCATGACCCTCTTTAAAAGATACACTTTATGGGATTTGTCGGATGGCAGGTGAGTATGCATTAATGGTTGAGATTGTGATATGTCCTTGAGAATCAAGAAGGTTTCCATCTATGGTACTTCGATATCTTAGGCACCGAAATCTCTGAAGTGTGGTATGATTAGTACCAAGATAAAATTATGCAAGGGTGTTATTATGAAATTTTCAAAATTGTTTGCTTGCCTATCATTATTATTTCGGTTGGTTCCTCATAGACTACATGCCAGAAAATTTCAGATGGTTAACGCTATTTTGTGTTAAAGTTAATCACTATAGATTTAGTTTACATGGTTATATAGAATGTAACTTCCTCAGACAGCTAAAGTTAATGTCAATAGATATTAAAATATTAATTATCGGTCTTGTCTGATAACAAAATTAGTTCCATTAGTATTAGTTTTATAGGTTGAAAATCACAAGTTAAAGATGCATTGACTCGGACGAAAATTAAAGGTTGTACCAACTGAAGATATTATTATTAGAATTCTTGAGAGAGTGCTTAAGCCAGATTGTTTTTTTACAAATTAAATTCATTATTGAACACTGGGAGAAATAATTAAGTTATAATAACGCTGGCACACACTACGCCTTTAAATATTCCCGATTTTAAAGCTTGTTCGCTTTTTCGGGTGCATGACATAGTGATAGCTCATAGACGCTTGATCATTCGACATATTGCCATTGCTGTGGGCATCTCACATGAAATGAGTACACCATCACCAACGAGTTGGGAAATACCCACAAGATTTCTTGACGGGCATCCAGGCTTTACGGCATCGCCATTTAAACATGAAGGTAATAATAATGATGGTAATGATAATAAATAATTCAGTGTTAAGATAAAATTAGGTAAAAATTCCCAAATCATTGGATTTTCAAAGAATCTTCAAAGCATGAAGTCTTCTAATTCCAATGGGATGATATCTGTCATAAAAAATAATAGAGAAGAGTTTCTCAGTAACCCATATTTAGAAACATAATCAGCAGTTAATAGATTACCTATTAAATCCGTGGAATATTTCCCTCAAGGAAAACCTATAATGGACCGATTATATAAATGGAAAATTGTAGACTGAACGCGGTACATTGATAAAGCACTTTCTGCTTCTTTTGTGGAAAAGGAAGAATATATTTGTAAAGTATTGCGATTTTAGATATAGATGTATTTATGTAGACTATAAATAAATGTATTGTGTATTTTGTATTGTCACCATTAAAAAACAATTATTTCATAAACATTTGTGTATATTAAAGCAAAACCAATTAAATCCGTAATCCGGAATACACAGAGTGTCGGAGTACTCATAGTTTTTAGCCTAAGAAGGAAATCAATCGGGACCAGAAAATGATGTCGGATTACGCAGAATGTCGGAATATCTCAGAGTAATCTTTATAAGAATTAATTTAAATGTTAAAGGATATTTCTTTGTTCCAGGAATAACCGATTCCCCATTTGATTTTTTCATGTAGCCTACTAAAGGAAACTGAAATTGTCCATCTTTACTAGTTCACCCTTTTCCAAACCTCATGTTTACGAAGACGAAAACAAGTCACGTCAGCAAAATCATAGCAATAGTTAACATTCTTTTAATTAGCCCATTAGTAAAAACAAACCCGATCAAGAAATCAAAAGTTCAGGTTAAGCGCCCATTATTGAGGTTGTTAAAAAATGAGCTTTCTGAAGCTGTGAGGAAACATCTGGTACATGGTTTCAACATCGTTTCAGGATCTCCTTGTCATGCTTCCTATGCAACAAGCAGAGATACCAAGGAATTGGATAATATATTATTATCTTGCTTTAAAAATAGAGGCATATAGTATCCGTTGGCTTACCATTTGAACAACAACGCACTCTTCGCAGCCCCGAAAGCAAGTTTTTCGTGCACAAATCTCATAACTATCTGAGATATTTCGCCCCCCCCCCCCCTCTCGGAAGTAAACCTTGCTCCGTCACTGCGCATATCATTTATGTGGTTGGGTTTCCCATTTCAAGCGCTAGAATATTTAGTCAATGAGTCCAATCGTAACAAATAAGAAGATATACAGATAAGCAATTTTCAAATCACTCTTCCTTCATCACGGTGGTGAAATTCCAGTTCCAGAAAGCTTTTAATGAATACTTAATTAGCAAAAATTATTGTTCATTTCGTTTTTAGTTTCACACAATTTCTGACTATTCTAATACTTCATCAGTTGTAACACGACTGAGTTGAAATTGCGTTGGTTAAATTTGCCACAAGCAAGAAAAAGAATGCCAGTTACAATTAGATAGAATAAAGATTGGTCTTGAATTTATCATCTTGACACGCGCCATAACTGACAAAATGTCACTCCGACCCAATCAGTGACCTAACATGTTGTGATTCCATGTTAGAGGAAAAACACGATAGCTAGTTTCTCTTGAACTAATGGCTCAAGGCAAAGATTTGTAGGTTATATTGGAATTATAATGAGCTGGAAAATCTAACGACAGAAAACTTAAAATTGAAAGGAAAGCTTTTCTTACGGAAATAACATTTTATGCTTGTAGTCAAAACGTTTTATGAAACGTTTCAAACGTTAGAAACAAATGGATTGCTTCTGCTGCCTGCAACGGTGCTTTTAAGTTCCTGTTGTGAGTGATAACATAATTCTCTTACGGCGGACTTTTTATATTCGAATCCGATACGTGAGCGAGCAGCATAGACTGAGCTCTTGCTAATTATCACAATCCATCTCATTTACCGATTTATCGATTTATCATCTACCACATCATCACAGCCATCATGTGCAGCGTATGGGAAATCGGGATGTGTCCCGAGAGACGAAAAAGACATTTCCTACTCCCTCAAACTGTTTCACTGTGTGTAAACTTGCCCGCGCCTATGCTTTAACTCTTGTTAATATTATATTATGAAAATGTCAGACTATTCCCTTCGGTTAAAATCTACCGTATATTACGTTGTTTTGACTAAAACCAACTTGATACCAGAGCTATAATTGTGTCAATGCGCGACTCGACAGTTTAATGGTGTTGAATATTATTATGGAAATATTTTAGTGGAAATATTTTAATGATATAGACAAGATAATCTCAAAATAATAATTCATGGGAATCTCACAAACATTTTGTAACAATGTTTGGAATAACAGATATTTATAACGTAACAATATTTGTAACAACGGTTTTGATTAAAAGTTTGTTATTTATAACGTTACAATGTTTGGGAGAATAACAGTTGTTATTAGTAACATTATAATGTTTGAAAAAACAGTTTAGAATAAAAGTTGTTATAATTGGAATTACAGATGTTATCCATAACGTTACAATATCTGTAACAACAGTTTGTTATTTATAACGTTACAATGTTTTGAACAACGATTGTTAATTAAAGTTCACTCCATTATATTGTGACTGAAACAGAGGCTCAGGTCGACATTGCGACTGACACAATCTGGTATCAACCTTATTTTCAACGACTGCAACTTATGGCATCTGAGCGAATCGTTAATGTTAAAGCAGGGCAATTAAAACGTTCGCAGTTGATGTCAGAACGTGCGACCATCCAGTTGATTGCAATTACCAATACAATGGATCCAGCGAGGTGCCTTAAATCACTCGACAACCTTGGCCAATCTTTAAAAAATATATGCTGTCTTTATTCGGTATACAAGTTGTGAGAGCCAAATTGTGGACGAATTTAGCATAGATTTCTAGCCAAAAATGACCCTCATTGAATGATCTGATTTTCTTTGTAAAATTGCGTATAGGCCAATATAGAAATGTCTAAAAATCAAAATATTCTATTCACATAGTTCTTGTTTTAGAAAAAGAATCTATGTAAACCTATCTAATATAAAGTTCAGTGAGGAAATTCACGTGGCATTGATTATCCAATATGCCGAGCCAGGTTCAGTAAAGCTTATATAAATAGGGAAACTGTTAAACTAAACAACTTTAAACTCACGTTGATGAAGTGTATCAAAATACAAGGTCGTATGTTTTGATCTAAAAAAGTAGCCGATACCAACTTCAATCTATACATCTGACTGGGATCTCTCTGCAGTGAGTTCGCTGTAAAGGACATATTCGCCATTTTCGGGGTTGATTTGGGTCTTAATGTAAATAGTCTTCAGCACAAGAACTGTACGAAAATCGCATAATTCCTTCAAAAATACCTTAAACTAGGAATTTGTCACTCTAATTCTTTATTTGTCATTTCCATATACCACAGAGTCTCGACAAATGACGAGTCGTCATTTTCACTGTCAATAAACACACATGGATTTGATGGCTCCATTACTATAATCAATTACTGATTAGCTCAGCTAAAATAATTCTAAGACTAAGGTACGATTGGTCAAACGGATGGCTAATAAGTCCCTTTAATTTCCACCTTCGCCTGAAGTTGTTCAAACTGGCAGTCCGGATGTGAATTGTGTATACTTCGGCAGTTTGATATGAGCTTTAGACAAATTAAGTAACTAAAATTGATCAGTTATTACCTGTAGATATAGCTATGCTAAATAATAAGTTTGTATATGCAATTAACCACCCATTCATTCTGACCACTGATAATTGCCAAGTGTCAAGCTTTTGCGTGAAAGTTTTAAACGATTTCTTTTTGTACGTTGTTAGATTATGAGATAGTAATGGATATGATATAATCTATATTGTTTTACCTTACATGTTAATTTGTATTAATGATATCATGTGGAATAATCAAGCTCAGATATCATATTACTTTATTAACATGCACGAGATATCATAACAGTGATGGATGTTGGTTCTATCACATGATAATAAATGTGACTGGTTTTGTGATGTTAAACTATTATGATATTCGATTCTCGAAACAACATAAATGCAATGAAATGCATGGAGTTTTACATCCTACTTTTCGTATTCTAATGAGGGAAAAATGGTTCATTAGCCTACTCTTTTTTCTATTTCCAACTGTCGATGGATCTTAAACGTACACAACCTGTATCACACGGAGCCTCGGTTTTTTGTCCCATCCGAACGACTAGACCTTTTTTTCACGGTGCATCACCGACAAGTGGCAACCGGGTTGAAATATCCGAAGGTATTAGCTGATATTGGATATATTATGTTATCAGTTTCTTGACATTGTTTAAATCCATGTAATGTATTGAATTCTGAAATTTTCTTATCTTTCTAGGTGTTTGGGCAGCCTACTCATTTGATATGAAGAATTGGTTATTGTTATTATTACTGGTGGTTGCAGGATGGACTTATCTTGCTTTGGCTGCAGATGAAGATACCGATAACGTTCCAGAGGAAGTTCAAGAATCTAATCCAGAACCAGAATCGGAACCTTCTACACCGAAATTGGTTGCTATGCATGCAAATACGAGTAAGTAAATATTAAAATAGAGACTATGGTAGTTTTCAGACCTCCGATTTTTCTACAAGAAATGAAAACGTACCATGCCAGTGTTTACTTCAAGGTATTCAATCTTGAATGACTTTTTTAATTATAGGAGAAAAGACGTCGGATTTTAATACTGAATAGTAATATGGATGGCTGACATTCCCCTCTGATAAACAAATATTTAGACGATTGAATCCCTATAATATTGACTATAAAAATTCCGAGAAACGTTAATCGAAGTGTATATATGAATGTACGTATATAATATATACATTGGCGATGACCCAGGCAAATATTTGATTACATTCTGGTAAAATTTTAAGAACATGATTAAAATATTCCCCGAAATATGGTAGCACACGATAAATATAACGTTTGGTGCACTTGTTTAGGTTTGTTATAAATTGTTTTGTGCATTAGCTCTCTATAAGTTCACTTCTGTACATTGGGTGTATACTTGTACTTGAACATTTATCGGAAGAAGCATTTCAGTTCTGAAAGGGGTAGCTAAAGTTGAAATCTATTATTGATCTGGTTGGAAATACCATTGTTTAGCCAACATCACCCCAAAGCTTACCTAAAAATGTAAAACGTTATAGCCATCCTCTCAATATACAAAGCAACAGAGATTGAACAAATATAGAAAAATTCGTAGCAACTCGTTTAGGTCTTTACAAAGGTATCGGTGCAAAACGGAATCTATGTTATGTCCAAAAAGTAACCTATACTTGATCACTTTCCAAGTTTCTTAGAACTATATATTCTGTTTTCAGACACTTATTACGAACATAAGTTAATAACAGACTACAAAAATATTCAAATATTTATACAATAGACAAATCATGTCGTATTATTTTAATATTTATGTTCTTTCATGCAAGTAGTTCTCTTCCAATTATCGTGAATTAAGTCTGAAAGTAAAATATTTACAGGAACTATAATCAAGTCTTCGGTACGCTACCAGACTAATTTTGGTCCTAGAGGATTTGGTTTGTTTTTTTATTCTTTCATCAAGATCAATGTTTTATGTTTTTTTTTAAATTAATAACCATAGAAAGCTCTTTAATGTCAAGAGATACAGAGCAGGATTACGTTGGATTCTACTATTCCATAATGTATATACTCTATAAGTTTCAATTTATTTCAGCTCAAGCACCTGTCCAAGCACCTCCTGAACCGGAAGCGGAAACCAAAGGGAACGATGATAATGGTGCTGCCACTTCTGGATTAGCTATGATTGCCATGTTTACTTCTCTAGCGGCATCCCTACAATTATTTTTATAACACCGTTGTTTGCCATTTGTCTAACCAAACACATTGCATTCTAAATTGTATTTGAGACCAACAATTATTCATTCACTTTTCGGTCATTAAATTGAAAGTAATACAAGGGAGGTAATCACATTGAGAATTTTGATCCATTGAGTTGGCTTTGCAATAGTACATCATTGTTAAATACCATGTATAATGTATTTCCATTGCTTTTTAGTGTGTAAGCTGGTCCTTGACTTGTATATAGCCTAGCCCTTAATATTATCTTGTGTGGAAAAAATGTTATAATCATAGCGGAAGCAAGGGTTGCATAGTTTGATAAATTTCATTTGTCAACCTCTATGGCAGCGGTTCGAAACAAAGTTCCGGGTGACACTCCTCTGAATGAACATGATAGTGGCATATAGACAACAGAGAGCATCAGCAAGGTAGTGAAAATGGTTTTCATTGTTCAAGGCATCTTCACAATGTCAAGCTATTACGAACTTCGTCTTCTACTTTGAATGCAATAAACACCTTTCTTGTATCATGGAATGCAGCGATTTGATTTAATTTTACCTTCAAGGTATAATGAAGCTTGCCATTATGAAGATGTGTTCAGTACTACTCTGTTTCAAGACTTAACGTACACAACTCAGAAATTAAACTCATTTGGTTGTGATGTATTTAACACTATTTAATGTATCTAATATCATGTTCATTCATGACAAACGAAGGCCCATATTTCAATTTGCTCAACGCATGTCTCAAGGTTGTGTTCATTTGATCATATATTAGAATAATTTATCTATTTATTATGTAAAATAAGCGTTGTGAAGCTTTTTTTGTTAATGATCCATATAGCCGTGTCATAGAGTGATGAACTTTCAAAGTTCGGACGGACACAAGATGCTTCGCGGATCATTAATAATATTAAGTATATTATACTTCTTTTAGTGGCGCCAATACAACTGAGGTAGGAGGAGGCGAACTGGATTTAGTCACATTTAAAATTATAGTCTTCCAAATTTACATTTATAGATTCTTTCACAATTCTTTTTTCAACACTCGAGTTATTAAGCATCCAATAAAGGACTGCTATACAAATAATGTAAAGGCAAATATGCTCATTGCTTCATTGGGAGAAACAGAAAGAGGCACCAAGCGCTTGTATAAGGATCTAACATTACTGTGCAGCACCGTCAAAGAATGTCAATCCATAACCAGATGATGCAGCAAATGATGAACGTCTACGTTCTGAATACCTAATTCTGCAATCAAGGTTAAGAGTGGAGCAAAGAGTATTTTTAGAGACTTTTCTGTCTTTGATGACCTATGCTCCGTTTGAAAACGTCTTACGTTGTTTGTGAAAAAAAATTACATGTATCAATCCAATTTACTATAAATTTTGATATTAAGATGTTTTTGAAACCTCGGGCTAAACGCCACACTTTATTTGTATTTTGTGAATCACAGTTTTTGTAGCAATGTAGTAACTATAGTATTTTAATAAAATAATAGTCATAGACGGACGGATTGTATAATTTCCATATTGCCAACTCCATTTGCCTTTCAATTTTATTTTAGCTAAGAGGTCGAGATAATATCCGGGTTCCCCTGTCATAGATGCATTTTGAAAAAGAATCTTGTCGTTCGGATGGGACAATAAAACGAAGTCTCCCTATGCTACAAACAGACTCTGCACGTTAGAGATTCATCGGCAAAAGAGTAAACTAATGTCGCTATTATGGCATAAATATTTCTCATACACTGCATGGCGCTGCCTGTCTTCATTAGCCCAATCACAAAGGTAGAACGTACAACTCCATTCATTTCATTTCTTTTTTCACTGGATAATAGCAGTAAATTTTCAAGTCTTGATGTGTATGGCTGAAATTGAGCGAAATCAAAAGTAAACATTTAGTAAATATCTCACTGCTTCTAATAACTTTCATCTTTCAGAAACTTCGTAACTTCAAAATTCAGAAGAGTTCGGAAGCGAAATTTCAACAAAGTGGAGCATTGGATTTGTCTCCCTTCAAAGGTTTGACATCAATTACCGAGTAAATATATTATTAATATTAGACAGGTTCGATGCTGATGATAATAATGAGGTTGATGCTTATGATTGGTACTGATGGTAAAGATGATAACCGCTGGTGATAAGGTTTGTTGCTTATCTAAATGCCGATGAGCAGACTGTTGATGGGGTTCCATCATGCTGCTAGTGATGATATTATAAGTGGTTTGATAAATCCCGACTCTAATGGCAGTGTTGGTGATATAGCCTGACTGATGGTAAGATTAGTGATAAATCTTGCTGATAATGGTGCTGGTGTTAAGTTCTGATTGCGTTGCTGATGATAGGGCTTGATGTTGATCATATTGTCAGTGATAAGGCTTTTAAGTGAAGATAGTGCTAATGTTGGTGATAAATCATGATGCTGATGATGGTGTTAGTAATGAGGCTTGATGTTGGCGATATTGCTGGTGATACGACCTGATGCTGATCGTGCTGGTGATAAACTGTGATGCTGATAACCGTACTGGTCATATGACGTGATGATGACGATAGAGGGAAACTGTTGATAATGAAATTTGACGTCGTTAAGGATTAGTCATGAGTCATGAACATTCTGATACTGTCCCACGCTGCTTCGTTTTTGATGCTCCTCAACCTATCTCACGCGATCAGTAGAGAACAGTGAAATATGTAGAAAATAGTTCCTCTCCGGATGTAATAGTTCGCGTAGACACTAATATCACTACACGAGTTAACCTGTTCACATCCATTGAGTCTAAATTGGCACCATAATATATATTTGGAATATATTTCCGCAAATGAAACGGAAAGTCCTGGGGTATATCAACTTCTTGGTAAGCCACATTGGCTTCATGTGCTGCAAAAGAAGAATATGTGGGTTGTTACCATCATAGTATCTTTACAGGATTTACGCAAAAAACAAAAACTAGTAAGCATTTAAGATAGAAAATGGGTTAGATATAGACTTCAAAACCAGATGCAGACAAGTCTTGGAATTATTCAGTTGGGTAGTTTGATTTAGATACATACAAGTACATTTTCGTTGATATTTCTTCGGATTACTTCTCTCCTATGGAATATTTCAAGGTCCTTTTTCTATATATCAACAGCTTCCTTTCGTTCAAATTGACAATCACTGAGAGAGTGTAAAGTTTTGTTTCACATCCACAAGTTCAGCAGCTGATGATTAAACTAAACCTACCTTTGGATTGGTTATTTACATATTGTCCTATATTTAGAGGGTTAACGGGAAATGGTGTCAGCCATGATGTATCACAGATCAGGTAAGGGCCAATACGATCTCTATTAGAACACGACCTAAACATAAATAGGTTTTATGACTACCTTATGGCCATATCAAATGACACAAATAATATATCATCAGTATGGAGACGTAACTATAACATTTCTAGACCTGTATTAATTTGAGAAGATGTGTAAATTTGGATACAATGCCTCTGAATGTAAAGCTACAACAACAGAAAGGCAGAACTTGATCCGCGACTGGGCTGAATAGAGACAGCATCTTTAAGTACTTTTACAAAGATAGTAGGCCCTACACGTTGTAAGGGGTATGCATAGTATAATTGTTTGATTATATTCTATCAAAACTACTCTATTTAGTTTTTATATCAAGCATATCAACATCACTTTTGAAAATGTCATGGTTACTTACTTGTAAATATATTTAGAGATTCTTTTATCATTCCCATCAATCAGTAGACCATCGATACATCGAAATATAAACGGATTAGATAAACTTTGTAGCAAAATAGGCTCGTAATTATAATATAAAGTACCTAAAAAGGAGAAAATGCTCTTGTAAGCTCTCTGTACCCGCAATAATACCAAAAAAAAGACACATACCAAACTTTTTTTTAACTAATTATTATCGTCTCTAATGTTCGAACAAACAAATAGGCAAATAGTCGTTTCTCTAACGATCTCCAGAAACCCACCTGGATATAGTGCTACTACAGTGTTGGGCGGAACTTCTCCTGTCGTAACGAAAACACCAACCCCACCTCCGATAAGATTACTAGGTCTTCTTTCAACTGTAAATCCAAAGGTATTCTGCAGAACACCAAGACTCTGATGATGAACCTTTTCTAAATGACTAGGTGATTGTTCCTTGGATTGTTTAACATAAGTAGATTCTTCAAATGCTTGAAATATCTTTTCAAGGGATCCTATTGCTTCTGACTGAGGTATAATGGCATCTGCTGTTTTGGTAGGAACTGCACGAATAGTCCTAAAACGATGCCAATAAATAATTTTTTTTTATCATAGACTTAAGTTATTGTCTGAAGAGTGACACAATAACGTTTAAAGGGCTGTCGCTAGACCCTAACTGAAATGGCTATACTAAAAATCAAAGCTAATGAAAATCTGAACGAAAATTTGGTCTAATTTTAATTAGACTGACGAGTGACACAAATGGCTGAAATATTATAGCCTACTATAAACACTTAAAATGATATTTTTATGCAAATGAAATCAGTATGTTAAAAAGTTCAAGAGACACTCCAAACCATATTGAGTTCATAAATTGTATACGAGGCTCGTATATTGTATATACGAGACTTAACGAACGCGACATATTCAAGAGTGGAGCGAGATGTTCGAGACTTTCGTATATATACGAGACTTAACGAACGCGACATATTCAAGAGTGGAGCGACAGACTTCTTAAATTGCGATTTATAAAAATTAATGCTATTGCGTACCTTTCATTCATATTCAGTGCTATCCAAGGTACAAGTCTGTATCTGTATTGTTTCCATTTCTCAATTAATCGCTTTAACATTGCTGTCATTACTGATTACAGTAAAAACTTTCTGTCAATGGGCGCCGCCATTTTCTTTATGCTAGATTATCAAGCCACCATTTGTCTGCTGTTCTATGAATCATTCGAATTCATGCTAAAGTTGTATCTATCTATAAGCTGAACAATACTGCTGTTAAGTAGTTTAGTAGATTTTTTCTGAAATAGCAATAGAGGCAAAGAAGAAAAAATGAGAATAGCTAGACTCAGATTCTCTAACTTCCTCGCATCTGAGTGTGTCATCTCACCTTCTTTCTGAGATTCACATAGCGTTTTATGTTTTTATTTTAGTAGTCTCGCATCTGTCAACTATCAATGATAGGCATATAACGACATTTTACCAAAAATGTTTTCAAGAATTAAAGCTTATAGGTAGGAATCAGTAAAATCGGAGGGGTTTATGGGAATGCTGGGGTGGCAGGCCCTAATATACAACATTTGACCCTGGAGGTATTTTAACGTGTTTTGAACATAAAATGGCTATCGCGAAGAGGATGCATGTGGGAGATCTTGATCTGAGCAAATTCTAAGAGATAGAACAAGAAACCCAAATGAAACAAAGATATAGGTCATCTGCTGCACAAATTATGACGTAAAAACTTAATTAACCTATGTAAAGACCATTATGATGATCTTTATTATGTTATGACCATTATATTGTTTATTTAAAGGAAGTTTACATAATATTTAACAGTTTGATAAACAACACTTCTTGATTAAACAATACAAACATTAAAAAGACAACAAAAAATTCTGAGACACGAAAATGTCGTTTATAATCATATTTTTTCCCTAAATACTACTTCAAAGTATGACTTTCAATTTTGAAACTACACAAACTCAATTTTTTCAAAGGAAATTGAGTCTCATTCGAAAAAACTGATATGCATACAAACCTATTAATAAACGTTTCTGTGCAAAAATGAAGCCTTGAGCTTATTCTTTCGTACATATAGTTTAATTACGTAAATCTGGAGAAATGTCGATTAGGCTTATAATACGAAAGGATGTATTTTTGAACTCAATTTCAAAGTTTCGAGTTTTAATTAGTTCTAAGTTGGTCAAAATAGAATTGTTAATTTTTCAAAGTTTATGTTGGCTTGTTAATGAATTTTAACGCTGTCTTTTGTCATGCAGTTTATTTGAGAACGTGAGCATTTAAGTGTGGAAATTTAATTATCTTAATAATTGTTTAGTGAAATTTAAATTAGGGGCTGTGTATGATATAATTAAAGATGAACTTTGCACCCACAAAAATAGACTAAAGGTCATATTTATTAACAATTTTTATTATTTTCCACCCGAGAAAAGCATGAATCTGTTCCTAAGAGACAAAAATCTTTTCTCGGGTACAAATGATTTTTTTTTAGCTTACCTTGCCCGAATTAGCTACGATGTCATACAATTTTTACTTGCAAGCTGTTATGAAATATAACAATAAATCTTCAACAATTCTTATTTCATAGGTAGAAGCCAAGACTAACTTTAAGAAAGAAATATATCGGCTGTCAATATAGTCCCTTTTTAATGCCCGAAAATCGCCAATTGCCTTGCTACGTTTGTTCTTGATGTTGTTAGAATACATAATAATCAGTAATAGATGCAGATGACCCGAACCGTCCTAAATTTATTACATTGTATATTTATTATATTATAATAATCTTATGTCTTAAGATTCAGTTAACAAAAGTAATGAGAAAGGTGTCACAGCAAGTCAAGAAACTTTGTCACATAAATCTCAAACTACTAGTATAATTATTTTATAGGATAACAATTAGGTTAACGGACTAGAGGAACAATATTATTTCATTAAAGTAAGTACATTTTCTTTAGGCTCCAATTTTGGAATGATTTAAACTTTCCAAGTAGAAAAGCGTCTGTAGTAGCCTTGCGAATGGGACAATAAAACGGACGCTCTGTATGTTATAAGCTCGTATGTGAAGTAATTCTTCGACAGTTGGAACTGTCTTACTCTCTGAAGAGTTGCTTCCCTGCCATCATTATTCCTCTCCATTATATTCCATACTGTCGCCATATATTGCTGCTGTTCATACGTCCAAATATACGTCCATACGCCCCCCCCCCCCCTCATTTTTGAAACAGCTATTCTTCTTATGACAAAAAAAAGAAAAAGAACGCAAATTTAACATTGTAAAGACATGGACATCGTTGCCATGTAAATGATAGCTTTTAAACCGTTTTTCATTGGCTTCATTTCCGAATCTAAATTAAACTCAGCAATTTCTATATTTCTGGCATGAGTCTTTCATTATGTGTTTTTATTTAGTAATTTTTTAGAAGATTTGATAATTACGGACGATAACAAACAAACGAGACGACAATGGGTGATAATGGACAAATTTGATTAAGTACAAATTGTCGTGTGATCATGGGTAATTGGTTAATAGTATCTTTAAGCAGTGTCATGAATTTAATAATAAATAGATAATTAGCTGATTTGAATTCATTAAAATAGGAACTAGTATACGTATCATTTTACTAGTGGTTAATGTTAAAGGAGCGCACTCGTTTTTATTTCGCTAAGATATTGAAAACAGACAAATGAAAGAAGTATACCCAGTTTCAAAATAAGTAGAATTGTGCTTAAACTCTTTCTATTCATCTTTCATAGATGCGTCAATATTTGTTCGCATT